ATCGATACCGAAATATTCCGGATTCCGGATAACCCCCACGTGAACTAATATGTCATAGTTGGGCCGTGAAATGTGTTGGCGGTCCATCGACCACCGCTCGATAATGAAGGTTTTCAATCATCTCTGGTAGTTGGTTGAAGGGACTGGACCGTATTATCCTGTATAGTTGAGTACCAACAGATTTCAAACTATCACCTTTGCCGCAATTCCGTACATGTGTGACAATAAGTGAGAATGTAGATGTCAAGCTAGATTCAGGTTTTCAGGTTTAGGTTTGGATTATATGTCGAGCACAGGATAAGTGCGTAAGAATAGCTTCCTAGCTAAACTTCGCCTGGTGCACAGACCGCATCTATGCCCCATAATAGTATGTAATATCCTTTTAAAGAAATAAAGACGAGTCATTATTATCATCGTTATTATCAATTTGAATTCATATTATTCCAGTCACGACCCTGCGGCATCCGACACCACGCAGAGTCGTGCTGGATAAAATCCAGTGATTACTCACTCATCACTGCACGCTGGAATTTTCTGAATTTTCGACAGCAGCGTATGTCGTGTGCCTCCTAGGGAGCCGATTATCAGGATGACCAATTCCACAGAATGATCTGGATAGAGCCTGCGGAGTTCGAAGAGGAGATCTCGATATTTAGTCCGTTTTTCCTACTCCTTCTGCCAAAAACTCGATCACGAACATCGCTTTGGTTTGATAGTCGAGGAGTAGTACATCAGGCTTGTTAACTCGTATTTGCCTGAGGGTGGGGAATGAGGAGTTTCAATAAATTCGGCACCTCTCATTCTCCACGATGGACTCAATATCCCCCGGAGCATATTATTATTATCATTTATATTAGTATTATTATTATTATTATTGAATTCATATAATTCCAGTCACTACTCCCCGTGTGCCCTGAGTAGACGCAATGATCCAAGTATGACGGCCTTCTGCATTCCACCAGCCAGGATGTGTGCCAGGATAATATTATTATTATTATCAATATTATAATTGTTACTATCGTTATCATGGTAACATTATAGGTGATGGTGAGCTCGCTCTTTTCCTCTTATACATATATTAGACCAATTTCGAACATATCGAGAGCCAAATCGTCTTGTTTGATAGGCGCCATATCCTGAGACAAATATCTGTTAGCTGTTATGGGAAATCATTTAACCTTTTGTGCACGACCAAGGGTAAAGTAGTACTTTGTCGCCAGGTTTTGCAGTCGTCAAGTGTCATTTTACTGCTTGGCGTATAGGTAACTTGTAATAGGTATTCAGTTGTGATGGTTCCTAATCGAATATTATAGTTCTCTTGAACACATTGTCAAGGGAGGTGTTCCCCGAGGCATATAACCTCCAGTAATTCAAGAAGAACAACAATTCCTACATTATTCTCCCTTGATTCTCACGATGTTCTCTGAACATTACAGGATATCCCCATTCTTGGGAACCAGAACATAAAAAAATTTATCGATTCTAAAGTAAGTTATATGTTATGTAATTAATTGACAGCAAATATGAGTATACTCCAAATTCAAGAATTTGAATAAGTTACCATGTAGAGTCGAGCTATCGATGCTATTCCTCTCTTCATCAGCCATGATGGCTTCCTATCTTTCTCGAGAGGTAAAGATGAGGTATTCACAATGAAAAATCGAATATACCGGTCATGCTTTTGGGTGTATGATAAATTGACATTCATCATACAGGGCGTGGAAATGAATTATGAATTGAGACTCTATCACGAATCTGCGATTAGAGGTCTATAAAAATCACAAGTTTCCATCGTTCAAGTTTGAACTTCCTGATTGGGTATGAAAGTGTTGAAAATGAATATTCTCAGATAAATTATGAACATACAAAAATGGATATATATTTATATAAAACAATACATTGAGAATTCGCATTCTCTATGTGATGAGAATATTTACTCTTTTTCAGTTAATTCAATAGAAAACAACTACTTTCCTGGCTATATGCCACGACGAACATTGAATTATATCTATTGAACACACACGATAAGAGTTTGAATATTCAGAATGCTGTGTGTATATACATATTTTTGTCTGAAGGAGAATGCAAATTCTCAATTTCAGAAATTTTTATATTTTATTTTCAAACTCTTATCGTGTGTGTTCAATAGATATAATTCAATGTTCGTCGTGGCATATAGCCAGGAAAGTAGTTGTTTTCTATTGAATTAACTGAAAAAGAGTAAATATTCTCATCACATAGAGAATGCGAATTCTCAATGTATTGTTTTATATAAATATATATCCATTTTTGTATGTTCATAATTTATCTGAGAATATTCATTTTCAATACCGGTCATGCATAGAATGTTGCATGTCTTTCGGGTGTGAATTGCTTTCATGGACCTATACCGGGCGATACCGACTCTTGGTATACCTCCCTTTCCTCATTTGTTTTTCTAGCAATATTCCTGAAATTTGGGACATCAAATATGATCACTATAAGGCAGTGTTTGTCATTTTAGGATGTCTTCTTTATGTCTCCGGTTTTCATGGAGATGATATCAACTCTCGATTTCCAAATGGAACACCTTATATTTCATTCCATAAATGGTTAGAGTTTATTCTAAAGAATTCAACGATACCGGGTTTGATAGGGTTATCTCCAACGATTACGAAGATATTATGTTCGAAGTTTCCATATGAATAATGAGTATAACAAAGATGGAAGTTTCGATATTGCGCCGTCACATCCATCGATCACATGGAAACTTCGAACGCAAATATATTCGTGATCGTATGAAATAACTCAATCGAACCCGGTATCGTTGAATTCCTTATAATAATCTATAACCAGATATGAAACCAAATATAAGGATGTCTAGAATCTGTAGATGTTCCACGTTTCGCCACCGATTTTGAAGCCAATTTCAAGAACTGGGAAATGAAAATATGATAAAAAAATATAGGGAGTGATTTCTCACTGAGATCTCAATCTGCCTACTCCTCGGTTAATATCACCAAAGTATGACTTGACGCCGAGGTCTCAATATGCCTACTTCCTAGATCTCGTCACTGGTTGTCTCTAAGGTCTCAATCTACCTACTCCTTCGAGAGAACTGAAGGTGTGTGGATGGCAGAGCGGTATTTATGGTGGATGTGGTGGTCCGTGAAGCGGAACTTGGCGCAGGGTGTGGAAAGGCAGGAAATGAAGAGTTTCCAAGTGCTAGAAAGTCTGCGGCCATCGTCGCAAGTATTCAGGCAATCAGGTCGCTTCTCTATCTCAAGGGTTTCGCGGATTATCCTTGTATGCAGAGTTCTTATAGGGAGTGATGTTTCACTGAGGTTTCAATCTGTCGACTCATCAGTTGATATCACGTAAGTGTGACTTGACGCCCGGGATCCCATCTGCCTACTCACCAGGTCTCGTCACTGGTTCTCTCTGAAGTCTCAATCTGCCTACTCCTTCGAGAGAACTGAGGGTGTGTGGGTATGGCGAAGCGGTTTTTATAGTAGATGTGGTGGTCAGTGAAGCGGAACTAGGTTAGAACTTGGTTTGTTATGACGCAGGGTGTGGAAAGGCGGGAACTGAGAGCTTTCCAAGTGCTAGACAGCCTGCGGCCGTCGTCGCAAGTATTCAGACAATCAGGTCGCTCCCTCTTTCTTAAGGGCTTCGCGGATTATCCTTGTATGCAGAGTTCTTTCGGTGGCGATTGTTCTGGCGTTTTCGGATTCTATTGAGTAGCCTGTTCCTTTGTAATGTTGAAAAATTATGAAGAAACAGGCCAGCACTTATACTGGCGTCGGAATAAATGTATAATTGATTTAACTTAATTTTTTGGGATTTTCTCTTCCAAAAAATCAAGTAAAATGAATGTACCACCTCCTCGATCAACCTACAGACAGTATTTAATAAATGTTTGAGTTTGTCCAAGTGCCAATCAGTGTGAGTCAGGTTTGGCCACAGGATTCGGCATACTGATGGCACGTTTGACTTGTTAATTTTTCTTATTCCGAATGAGTATCCAGTTGATCTATCATAAATGAAATAAACGCAATCTATGCAGAGGAGTGTGAACAACAAAATACATAACCTATAGAAAATATGTAATATCACTTTTTCTACAGGTCTTTCAACTCGAATTTCGAACCTCCATCTGAAGATATGAAGAGTTTTTGCTGGAGAAGGAATCTGTGTGATCACTTTCGATTTGGAGAAACCTTTTGCATTTCCAGAACTGAGCAACTCTGTCGCTCATTATATAAATTGTACAATTATGTATTTATGATCCTGGTCGCCAAGGTCATTGAAAGAAGTTGCAATGATATTGAAAACTACGAAAAAACACCCTAATCCCTAATGTGGAGTGAAAGTATGAATAGTTTTTCCGTAGTTTTGAATGTCATCAGTTTGTCTAACCTTGGCGACCGCGAATAATGTCAATGATAATAAAAAAATTGTGGAAGACTAGATTTCATTATATTTTATGTTGAACACGTTGTATACATTTTCTTATATCTAGTCAGTATATTTTGTCAAAATAAGACACATGAAAATATAAATACAATTTTGAAGAATAGTGATTGTGAATTTTCGTTCTTCGAGACCGGATTATGAGGTAAATCCCTAAAATTTTAGGTAAATATATACATCATATACATGTTCATTGGGATGAGACTGATGGCTCTAGAAGTTCCCAAAAAAGTTGCAGCTTGACTCGTGAAGCATCTTGAAGAGCAATCTGCCAATCATGGTCACATTATGTATTCAGATTCTTCCACTGAAAAAAAAAGGATATTGAATTAAGTACATATCTGCATGAACTATTATTGGCCACAAATTATCAAAATCAGGTTGAAATTGCCTGTCGAATGATGCCAATTTTTGTTCGGTTGAATCCAAAGCAAAGAGGAAAGATTCTTTCTTTCGACCCAGGGATTGGATAAATTCAATAATCACTGCTGAAAGATCCAGAATCCATTCTAAATAAGATAAATGAATTGACATGAATTTTTTCCACAATGAACTGGAATATAGTATATTTAACAGAAAGACCATTACTGGGTAAGGTCAACTGGTCGAAGATGAAATGGCTAAGATATGGCAAAGATAAGCCACAAAGAAATTTAGAATAATGAATTTCCATTCTTTATAATGGATATCGAGAAATCTTCAGCAGAAAGGAAAACCTCCCAACTTGTGGAACCTGTCAAAGAAGAAAGAAGCACAAGCTTGATCTCTTGCCATACATTCCACCTAATTATCATTCATTATAAGAAGTTCGCCAACAATAAACAAAAAAATACTAAATTCAGCTTCAACAGCAGATGAAATAACTGATGATAGTGACATAGTGATGCAAAATGTTCAGTGGATAATGAACTCAAGTCATTTCGTTTTTTGTTCATCTGCGAGTACTTTTGAGAACTCCTGTTTTCTCACTTAGTTCTAATAGAAAATAGTTTATTTATGTATTTGTTACCAATGAAAAGTTCATTCGAAACCCATATAAGAAGTGTTATTTTTCTCATGTAATAATTCGAAAATATCCAATTATCCCATTTTACTCATTTGATGACTTACACTGATTGGCTTCTGAGCCCTCGACATGACAGAAGTTTGTAGAGTAGTCCTTGGTGCCAAACACGGTCAAATGAATTCGATATATCTGTCGCCACAGCCTAATATTCTCCATATTTTTCAGATGAAGCACTCATATATGCGAAGCATAGGCAAGTAAATCCCGAGTTGATCTCTGATGGCAGATGCCATATCCATATTATCGATCATTCATGATTCCTTTTCACCCTTTCATATTATGATGTCAGGAAAAAGTAGATAGAAATTAAATGGCATCGAGAGAATCGTTATCTGAAATTATCCTTCGTCCATTATTCTCGAAGTAACACCGTGGAGAAGGCAGGTCACATTAATGCCAATACATACCCATAACTCATCAATCTAAATACATTTTTCCAACGAATTGCCCGAGGAGCCGTTCACGATACATAAAACTGACTACAGTAGATGGGTAATTGTTGCCTAAAACGTTTTGTCAGGTAGCGCGAGAATTTTCCATTTTTATTACCTTTATTCTGGGTACGCCAACAGGCACCGTAAATTTTTCATGGCACATAATTTCATCTCGAATTTCCATGAGGAGAGAAGGCCATTTAGTCTGTGTACATAAACCAAGCGGCAGACCGCCCTCCAAGTGCAAATTTATAACTATGCATATGATATTACGACCTCCAAAATTCACGGAATTGCTTCAGATAACATTGCGCTCATATGCTCGGAATGTTAATGGGATGCCAGGAAATATATCAGTGATGCTTACGCGGAATCGATGTAGGTTTCTGCTGAATCCAGCCTCACCTACAGATTACACCAGTAAGTTGGCATCTGTAACAAGGAATCGAGGTTCCTCTGAAACTCAACAAATGTGAAACGGGGACCAGAGTGTTTAGTGTAAGTGAATGCAACATTTCAACTGGATTTGCGACGTGTTGGAATTCTAGCGTATATAAGGGAGAGATTCTGATCATATGAATTTGTAATGACGAATATGAATTCACATTGAAACATTCGAGATACAGTGATGAGTAGAGAAGAGAATGACATATGACAGGTACTGTTATCATCATTTGTTCTGCTCCTTCCACATTCGTATAATATTTGGTCTATTCGAGATGGTTTAGAATACTGTAATGCTTGTTGTAGGAGCTTTCATTTTGCCTAAATCAGTATTCAAACTTAAAGAAACCAATGTGACTTGGACTTTGGACCGTTTATTTTTATGACAATTTCAGATAATCTAATTTACAGTGACTGGAGCTCGGAGGGAGGGATGTTTATATGAAGAAGAAGTCATATTTCGATCCCAACAATATGTCCTTAACATATTCACATCAAATTCTGAGTCACTTTGTATACCTAATCCTCATATATCTCCGAAAACGGTGAAAAATACACAGTTCACCAACGTATATCTGGAAGTGTGCGGTGTTATTTTGAACATATCTATATATATACCACCAAACAAAGTCATAAGATGTTTATAGAGAACTGAAAGATACTTTGATCTGAAATTCTGGGTACAGTCATTGAGTAATGAGATCAATTTTTCTGTTATATTTACAATCATAGCTTCACTTGCGGTCGCACCAAAAGTGACATCAATTTAGTTTTTTTAATGGAACACCCTGCATATTATCGCATTTTTAGATTCTTCCTAGAGAGATGATTTCATCAATAGAATGGAACTTGGCAGACATGATTACCAGATATATATATATATATATAGGGTGTTCAAAATCAGGATTTTTCAACTTCAGGATTTTTGTGTCGGAACTATTCGTTATTGATCGAAACGGCTCACATTTCCCTATCTCAACTATTGAATGAATATCTACTTACATTTAACTGGGAGTAATATAGGGTGGGTCAAGATTCAGATTTCTGATCACCATGAATCTGTTCCAATTCAACGTCAGTGGATAGTAAATCAAAAGTTAAGATATATACACGGAAAAAAAGGATTTGTTGCATCAACAAATTATTTATGCTTGAGTTATTTTTGTTGGACTGAGCAATTTTTTGTTGAATCAACCATATACATGATTATTCCATGGAAGCAGCTTGTTCAAATCAAGAATGTAGGCCAATTGAATCAACAGTATAATATCAATTCCATCAACAAAATATATGGTTTCTTCAAAAACAAATTATGTCGATCCAAAATAATGTCGATGTTGATTCAACTATAAACATTTCGTTGATTTAATCAAACAATGATCATTTTGATGAGATTATATCTTTGAAACAACATACTAGTTTTCTTATTCAGATGTAGCAATAAACTCGTTTCGAACGGATCATTTGCTTGAATAGAGCAACGAAATATGTGAAATCAATGAAATATTTTGTTCATTCTACATCAACTTAAATTTTCGCCTCTAGATGGCCATCATTTCGCCTCGTCTATGCCTGCCTCGAATTCATTATATACGTGAAGCCTGATTCTTCGTGTTTGAAATATCAGCTGGATAAATCGAACTTAGGATGATTAGCAATCCGAAAGAGTTTTCCATCAGCTAAGGAGTAGTAAAGACTTGAGATCTATGCTGTTAGTCGACTAGTTCCCTAGTTTTGTTTATTCTATTGATGTGTAATTTCAGAAAATTTCCGAATAATGAATTTGGTTCAACAAAACAATTTGTCGAATGGATAAATAGTTTCTCTTGAATCAACAAAATAGTTCATTGAATCAACCAAATATTTAATTGAATCAACCAAATATGTTATTGATTCAACCAAATATTTCTTTGAATCAACCAAATATTTCGTTGGATCAACTAAATATTTTATTGAATCAATATCTTGTTATTTTGAATCAAACAAAATGATTGTTTGAGCCAATTCAATATCTCTTCATAAACAATTCATGGATGTGCTTGATCGAAGAAAATCCAGAGTTCATGCAAGACATATTTACTTGATTCAAACCTCAAATTCGCTCTGAAACAAGATAAAGATTTACTCATTTCAAGATCATATTTTGTCGTGCATATATATGACACTTTTATTTGCTCCATTCCATTAAATTTTGCTTGATTCAACAATTCCTTTTTTTCCGTGTATGTGAGCCGTTATGACCAATAATTAATAGTTTTCACACAAATATTCCTGGAGTTGAAAAACCTAGATTTTGAACACCCCTATATTTCTATGTATATACACTCAGAGAAATAGTCGGTACTGAATACCAAACGTTCAGTAAAATAGGCGCCAGGCACTACATTCAATAAATAATTCCACAACAAAATTGTTTGATACTATACTATGAGTGTCATACGTTTTCGTAGTGGTAATTTTTTATATAGAGTATTATACAATTTTGTAGTGGTATTATTAGATGAATGTAGTGACTGGCGCCTATTTTACTAAACGTTTCGTATTTACCTACTACCGACTATTTTTTTCAGTGTGATTATTTCCGCTAGACCCCAAAGTATGATATATTGATGAAATCAGCTTATCAGGAAAAATCAAAAAATGCAATGATTTACAGGGTGTTCTATTTGGAATGAAAACGAAGTTGATGTTACTTGCGGTGCAACCAGAAGGTGCAGCAAATTCAGAATGTTCAATAGATCACTTCACGCAATGGCTGTACCCGAAATTCTGTATTGATGCCCTTTTTGGTTCTCTATTAAAAACAATTATCATCCCTGTTCGATGTCATTACGTGTTCAATGGCGATGAAATGCGTTCCCAACTCCCCAAGAAAGAGGATAACATGTCTGACAAAATATTTATTTTAAATAATATCGACCTATTCATCAAATTCGGTAGTATTCGGGAAAACGATTATGTCTCGAAATGAGTAATCACTTCCTTTCAGATGACTATCTTTTTCCTACTGTCTCTAGACGCTAGTGGCGTTTAGTTGTCTCCCACCGCTGTATATACGTCACTGCAAGCCTTTTGCACAAGCAGGGAGTATATTGAACCAATATAAATTGGTATTCGGTAGTTGCGGTTTTCTTGGATGAAGAAATATACTGTATATGTTGATACCATTCAAATGAGAAATCATTGTTCAAAGCAATTCAATGTCAAGAAAAATAGATTCGTTTTATTGAAGAAATTATTTTTACCTGCTTTATAAAAGAATACGTGATTTCACTTCTGTATATACTCGAAGCTTGTTTGACGTTCCATTAAAGTTTCGCAGTAAATCGAGAATATCATTAATATCTCGTTATACCACCATCAATTTGCTATTCATATATGAGTAGGATCTATATCGAAAAGTCTCTTGATTGAACAGGAATTCGAAATTCGTCATATTCATGTTCTATTTATAACCCATGCCTAAAAACAAAAATCAATATCCTTGTGACAAACAAAACGTCATCGCTACATTCCGATATAGATTGCCTATTTGGATGAATGTCTTGATCACTTTCATTTCGAATAAGTTTATGTACAAGATTTTCAATGCGTTCGAAAGTAAGATATTGTAGTCAGTCGACCAGCAGAACATATATTAGACATTC